TTACTCTTCTGAAAGCTAACAAATATGAATGCTCCTGAGTGAAAAACATCGCTATCCCTTTCTCATAATTTCCTTCAGCTTTAACCAGAGGAAATTCAGGGAAGAAATCAGTGTATTTAGAAACAGGAGTGGCTCACACTAGATCTACTTTTTGTTGTATTTGAAAGTCTCTTTTAAGCTTGTAAAGGTTAAAAACATGGTCTGCCAGTAGTAAGCTAACAAATATGAATGCTCCTGAGTGAAAAACATCGCTATCCCTTTCTCATAATTTCCTTCAGCTTTAACCAGAGGAAATTCAGGGAAGAAATCAGTGTATTTAGAAACAGGAGTGGCTCACACTAGATCTACTTTTTGTTGTATTTGAAAGTCTCTTTTAAGCTTGTAAAGGTTAAAAACATGGTCTGCCAGTAGTGGTGGCTTGTCACCAGCTGATATCTTCTGTGCAAGCTCTTGCCTTTGGTCAATTGACCTTATAACCTAGAAGTTCTACTTTTTATTTAGTAGCCAAAGTCACAGAAACCTTTCCAAGACTAGCAAAAAGCACATCTGCCTACATTACAAAACTCACCTAATCTCTTTTTGCAAAGATCCAGCATCACCACACAGTGTAACAGTAACATGGTGCAACCCTTTTGTAGGAGATTGTGCCAGTTTTCTTTTTGAAACCTGCCCTGTACAATCCCAGGTGTGTGTTTGGTACTATTGTGGGTTTTAGAAAGTAAATCTACTCTTAAGGTAGGGAATTCACTCTTGGGGAAGGGAATTTTAGCTGCAGTAAGGTCCCCAAACTATTTCCTCTTTTGCCAAGAAGTCAAAAGGACTGCAGATGCTGGCAGAGGCTGCCTGAAGAGGCTGTAAATAAAGTCAGGAGTTGCTGAGGACTGGAGATGGCTCCTCTCTCTGCTCTGGGTCCCAATGTGCACAATCCAATGAAGTGGCACAATCAGAGCAAGATTGGAAGGAGGGATGTGAAAAGGGACCCAGGTGATGATGGCACAGAGCAGAAGAATCAGGTCAAATACAGGACAACCAAAGGATCAGACCCAGCCAGAATGTGTTTCAGAAAGGCAGGTCCTGCCTGACCAAACTGATCTCCTTTCATGGCCCACCTAGTGGATGAAGGAAAGGCTGTGGATGTAGTCTACCTGGACTTCATCACAGCTTTTGGCACTGTGTCCCATGGCATACTCCTGGAGAAGCTGGCAGCCCATGGTGACACTTCACTGGGTTACAAACTGGATGCCCAGGCCCAGAAAGTGGTGGTGAATGGTGCTGCATCCAGTTGGCATCCAATCACTAGTGCCCCAGGGATCAGTATTGGGCCCAGACCTGTTTAATATCGTTATTGATGATCTGGGTGCAGAGATCGAGTCTACCCTTAGTAAATTCATTGGCAACAACAAGTTGGGTGGGAGTGCTGATCTGCTGGAGGGTAGGAAGGCTCTGTAGAGGGATCTAGACAGGCTAGATAGATGGGTCAAGACCAACGGCAGGTCCCTTGTTACCCTGGGGTGGATCTTGTTAGGGCTCATGGACTTGTGAGCATCCAATTGGCATGGCAGATGAAATCATTCAAAAGAAATATTTTATAACACAGATTTGCAAGAAAATTAGCACTTCTCTGTCAATCTCAGTCTCAGCCTTTCAAGCAGTCTTAGCAGTCTCCATCCCCTCTTTCAATCATTCTGTATCACACTCTACATGTTGGCCCTGTGGTTTGTGTGCAAAGCCTTTAAAGCAGCTACGGAAGTCCCACTACCAAGCAGTTACCTTGACCTTTTGCAGTGAAAATTAATGAAAACCAGACATGCAGAGTTCTGTGTCACAGCCCTGGGCTGGTTCATTTTTTAAAAAATTTCCCATAAGTAATGGTAAGCACTGTTTTAAGCTAACAGTGCAATCCATATTCCACAGGTTAGTATGGTTTTTGGAGCAACTCAGATAGTTAGAAAACCATGGCACTGAGCAGCTCACAAATAAAATATGTGAACATTTAACCTTTTTCAGCCCAACATGGTATGTTTGCATCAAAAGATAGCTGTTAAATACCTGCAGACTTTCCAAGTGGTCTCAGGAGCCTGGCAGCAAGTTGTGAGAGCTTCTATGATTGTCACCAGGGAAACCACAGGCCTGTTCTGCGTGTGGTCAGCTTCCCAGAGATGAGGCTGTTACCAGGCACTATCATAGGAAAAGACACCTCAAGACAAACTTCCCTAGCTAGATATTCCATTACTGGTGCATGTGAAAGGATAGGCTCCTAACTTTGTGGATACTTCTGATGCTATGGTTGGTTCAGCTGGCAAAACTACCGTCAAGTTTTCTAAAGCTTTGAGTTCAAACACATGTTTCTGTTTGATCTGTTATATGATTTAAACCTGATTAAATCTAACACCTGAAGGAAAAGTTTAAAAATAGATGAAATGTTGATCTCTCCTTTGGCAGATATATTGAAAAAGTAGAAAAATGCAATAAAGTGGAGTCAGTTTAAATATTAGTTCAAAAATGTTGTCAATTGAGAGATTGTTTTGAAATTCAGTCACTTTTGAGCGTAATTGAAATATTTTTGAAAATGGCAACAATAATGTTAACATTCCCAGTGGTAGAATGACAAATTAATTTTTAATTAAATTATAAATAATCAACATCACTGTTAAAAGGAAACAGAAGAAAGGTGCTAGTTTTGAAGTAAAAAAGAAACAGTTCTGTGATAACAGAAGATCAAAGATAGCATGGTCTAATTAAAATATAAAATGCTTCATGAATATCAAGGGGTTATCTACAGCTCTGTCAGACATTGTCAGGTAATATTACAAGCACCTTCATTCTAGAATCATCTTTGCCTCCACTGACTCCAAATTCTGTATTTTGTCACAGCCTGCATAGGAAATCAAATGAAAAGCTGGGAACTGAACCTGGTTTTACTGTTAGAGCTACTCCAAGGAGAGTTTAAAAATTTCACTGGTGTTGTATCAGTCTGTTCGTAAACTGAGCAACTGAATGAAAAGTAGTTGTAATAGAGGTAGCTAAAAAATTATCTTTAATCTTAAATTTTATCCTTCTTTTCTCTCTTCTCCCTTTCTACACCTAGAAGCTTCCCCAGGGTACGGAGGAGGCTACATGGCTTCTGTTTAACAGAAATGTCACACAGCAGAAGGCTGAATTCCCAATTAACAGCAGCTCCTTCCACTTGAACCACAACTATTTAAGCAAAGTAATAAAGAAGAAGTCAATAATCAAATTGTGCCTCTGTTTCAGATGGATACACTACTGACGATGTTGAATTTTACTGGAATGGAGGAGAGTCAGCAGTAACAGGAGTTAATAACATTCAGCTCCCACAATTTTCTATCGTTGATTACAAGATGGTATCAAAGAGAGTGGAATTTACAACAGGTAAGTACTGGTCAATTAAAAAAACTCTCCCTTCTTCCCCAACCCAGAAATATCAGTGTCTAACCTTTGTTAGGTGTTACTCATTATATGACTTTTTCTTTCAGGAGCATATCCTCAATTATCACTTAGTTTCCGGCTTAAAAGAAATATTGGATACTTCATTTTGCAAACCTATATGCCTTCCACACTAATCACAATTCTGTCATGGGTATCTTTTTGGATCAGTTATGATGCCTCTGCAGCCAGAGTGGCTCTAGGTAACAGCTTCTCAAATCGACTGAACTACATAGGTACTTGTTGCCTTTGAATACAGAGGCACCAAATCCATACTGCTGATTGCAGCATCATTAATTGTGATCTTACACATGGACAGTAAGGCCTTTGTTGTCAGGAAGGTAGGCAGGTGTCACCTTGCCTACATCTGAAGCTCTTGGTCTGCAGTTAGGTTGGGATCCTGACTGACTTCCAGTTGTCATAATGGTCTTTGGATCAGGCAAAAAGTATTTTGCTTCCAAACTGAAGCGTAAAAGTCTAATTCAGATATCAAAGGTATCTACACTGTGCTGCATGAAGAAGCCATGTTGATGTCAAAAAGTGTCCTCAAGGCCAGATGTGTGATTAGAATGAGCAGACAAGATCCTACTGACATCAGTGGAGATATACCAGCTTACACCAAATAAGTCTCTTTTACCTACAGTTGGTTCTTTCCCATACCATGTCCCTTCCTACAACTTAACATAAGAACCAAGATCTGCTGCTGCCATCTGCAATTTAAAGCAGATATGTTTTTCAAATCTAATGCCAGACAGCCATTTTGTCCCACCTCTCTGCAAATTCAGCTCACTACACCTGAGCCTAGAGCCATTATCTAGATGCATTAATGACTTGTGATTAAAGAAGACTAAAAAATAATTTCATCCTGCTAAGACACAACACACATAAAAAAAATCATTCAGTGGTGAGATGAGATGAGATGGAAATGCTTTACTTGCAAGCACCTATTTAACAGGAAAAGCTGTTTTGGTACAAGTGTGTATATCACTTTCTCTTTGTCAAAGACCATCACATTATCAAAAATTTGCCGTTTCTCCTTTCCATCCTCTGTTTCCAATCAAAAGCTAGGTATTTATTCCAAATCCCCAGAGCAATACAAGTCACCCTATGAGGTCAAGCAGTGCCACTTCAGTAAGTAAAGTGAGGAGCATTTCCTCCCATGGAAAGAACAGCAATCAACTCTTTGCTATCCAGGTCAGCTAACACCACATCCCCTAGCAGTTATTGTAAAAATTAAGGCAAGATGTACCAAGGCAGCCTGGGATTTTGAAAGTGATTTCATTCACTCTCCATTGCATGAAAAGCCAAGGAAGGTGCTATCAGCAGACCTGCAAAATGCATTCCCTTGCCTGTTAAGTATCTGATCACATGGTTAAGCCATCCTCATGAGAAGGGCTGGTAGCTGGGCAATTCTGCCATTATGCCTTTCACACTCAAAGCTCCTTCCTTGTCTTGTTAGCCAATGTCCTTTTCTTCCTTTTGCAGGAATTACAACTGTGTTGACTATGACGATCATCAGTACCCACCTCAGGGAGACCTTGCCAAAGATTCCCTATGTCAAGGCAATAGACATTTACCTGATGGGATGCTTTGTGTTTGTGTTCCTGGCCTTGCTGGAATATGCCTTTGTAAACTACATATTCTTTGGGAAAGGACCCCAATGTCAAAAACAGACAGCAGGCAGGGCAGGACATGCTATAGGCAAGAAGAGCAGACTGGAAACAAATAGAGTCCAGGTAAAATGTACAAGCTAACTTTTCAAACATCATTTCTACTGTGACAATTTTGATGTATATGATGATAGAGACAAATGCAGATGGAAAACATGTGCAAAGCATTTAAGATTGCCTAGAAAAAATTGTATTTTAAGGAGATTATGCAATGTACGATCTGTTCCATCTTCAACTAAAATCAGAGTAAGAAACTACAGGAAATGCAAATGAATATTCAGGACACATTTCTTTTCAGCAGAGAAAGGTACAAGGAAGTTAAATATTTACCACTTCAACGGTATATTTCTTAGCTATTGAAGGTGGTATAGAAGAAATGCTTATAATAAAGTTCCTCTTTACACACACCAAAAATAGAAAGCAAAGACAGGCTCTGTTGCTTCAGTAAGCCCTGAAAGAAGCCCACACCACTAAGCTTCCAGAAACACAAGGATGCTGCTGCTAGGTTATAACAGCTTTCACAGATGTCAGGATTTCTCCCTTAGCTGAATTCAAGCACACGACAACTATCCCCTCCTAAAAAACAAGCCAGAAAAATTCCAGAAAGTAATGCTATGGATGTTTATTTAATAGGGACAACTTTTATTTTGCAATACAGCACTGAGCACTTCCAAACTTCTATAAACCTATTTTGCTTTTTCTCATTTTTTCAGAAATAAACCCTTCCCTTGGGTGTGTTTGGCCCGACTGAGTCAGACTCAGAGGAAAATGCATATCCTAATGAGCCAAACATTTTCTTCCTTTCTCTGCTTTTCTTACAATATATTACATCCAAGTATTTAAGAAGTCTTATCCAGGGTGTCCTATACATTTCTGTACTGTTATGGCCTGCGGCGATAACCTTTGGACAAAACTGTATTTGAGCCCTCTGTTCAGCTTGAAGAATGATACCAATAAATCAAACTCTAACAGGTTTGTTGTTAGTTAGCTTGATGGATGGTTGCAATTTCACATACATATCAGGAAGTGAATTTCAGAAACTCTCTGATATCTTATCAGTTCTAGAGTTATGTGTTTGGTGTCCCAGCAGCCACACCACTACATCTAAGCATCAGTAACAAAGCCGTCACATCCTCAGTCTCAGTGAACTCATTAAAAGTCCTTACTCGCATTTGACTCCTGTCCCAATGTGTAGGAGATGCTTTATTTCAGTGGGGGCACTGATTCAGTTCAGGCAATCAGCAGTCTCTAAGGTCCCTTAAGTACTGTCTTCCACAGAGCAGAGGAGATAAGCCACCCCATTACAGATTGTTGGGAGCAGACACTGTCTATCCATTTCTATGGAAAATAAGGAAAGAAAAAACCCATCAAAACCACAAACTCTGACCAGTCACCTTAACAGCTCCTGACATAACCCAGCCTAGGTGAGAAGCAGCACAGCAAGGATTCATGATGAAGAGGGAAGCAAAGCTTCTTCAGAGGTCAGCCTTGGCTACATGGGCCCCAGTGCACTGAACCGAGTAAAGGGTGAGAAAGTGTAAAGGATCAGAGTGCAGGTAAGTTCTTTATCCTACATATTTGGAGATTTTGTTTAACTAAGAAATAGCCCTAACTCATAACTAAAAGCTTTTGTCTAAATGTTACATGGCAAAGATTACTCTGATACTGGTACTGAGAATGGAATGGAAAGTTTCTAGAGCACCACATGCATACACCAGCATTTTTCTGACAGAAAAAGGAATGCACACATGCTTTGTACCAGGATTTGTAAGTACTCAGACACTTGCTGCATATACAGTGCAGGTTTGTGATTTCAGACACACACACATATATACACATACACATAAACACACACGCATGAATGGATATTAGTAGATTTTTTTTATCCCACACATTGATGTGGGATTCGTTTTACTCAGCACATAAGTGCTGATGTCCAACAGTTGTATTTCTGTCTTTGGCAGGAAGAATGCACATGACTGGAGCAGTGGGACAGAGTGGAATTCCCAGCCCCTCTTCATCGTGGATGAGATTTTTTCATTGGTATTATGCTGTCTGTACCAGAGCAGGGGAAAGGTTTTTTTGAAGCATAAAAGAAGTACAGCTGTAAGTATATACAGCTATAGGATACTTTTTCCCTTTTACTCTTGTCCCACACTATTTATCCATAGCAGGACCTATAACCAATAGAAGATATGTAACAGTGCTTCCTCTCTTTATGCCAGGTGAAGATATTGATCATTCCCATCTGACATACAAATCCCACAACTAAAAGAGTTCAAATTCCTTCATCAGATAACAAAAGCATTAGATGTATGAGCAACACTCAGCAAACTGACCGCGATATTAACAGTATAGAGAAGATAAGATGAAAAATGTAGGCAGCTACAAGCTGTCTTCACAAAGGAGAAGTCATAACAACTGCTTGTAACGCTAACATCAATCAGCTTACACATTACATTATGCAATCAAAACCAGCTCATAGAGCTATTTCATAGAACTGAAACGAAAAGGTTCACCTATCAAAACTTCTGAGGATTAAAAAAAATTAATCTCCTTCTACACAGAGACAAGTTTGAGATCATAGATTTTTTCCAAAGAAAAAGATGCCAGAACCTCAGAGTAATGAATAGTCCCATAGTTATGGGAGTCCTCCGGAGAGTAAGAAACCCTAGCTTAAATCTTCCATCTGCTTAAATTTGAAGACTTGATCTAAAAAGGATAAACTGGGTAGCTCTTATCTCAAGCAAATATTTAAAACACCATGCTGAGTTGTGACCAGCCATCCTCTCTAACACAGAATATGTGAGATTTTGTCAACAAAACTGTGGTGGGAACTGCAGTGTTCCCACTGAATGCTCATTTCAATGCATGCAGAATCAGTCGCTAAACTTGGCTAGTGCATTTTCTATCTGTGGTGACTTATTATTCCGTTTAGAATATTCTTTTACCCGCAGCTCTCTTGTGTCGCTTTTGTACTTTACTGCTTTGTTTTCAGTTAGAAAGTTCTTAGTCAGGCACAGTGCAAATACATCAGAAGACAAAGTGTAAAGATTTCTCTTGGCAATGGGAAGGAACATCTTCCATGCTGCCAGGCGAGATTGAGGTTTGCCTGGCTCCAAGCTTTCCTCTGCAGAAAACCCCAGAGAATGGATTTTCACGTGTGTTTTGCTTGGAGTTTTTTATTGAGCATAGTTCAAACCCTCTGTAGATTGTTGTGTAATTTCCTGGCTCTGCTGTGTCTTGCTAAAAATTGAAAGCTCAGAGTGCAAACAAAGCATATCACTGGTGCCTCACAAGACTAGACATTGTCTACAGTTAATATCTTATTCCTTGATATAAAGGCATCTGCAGACAACTATGGTCTAGATTGTAATATATTTGGGATAGGTCCAACACCACAGTTTACCAAAACCAGTTTTAATATCCAAGATGAAGTCTTTGAAGTTTCATTTAAGAGGCCTGTCCTGATGTGTATTTCCCTCATATGAGCTACCAGTGGTTGTTTAAATATCTGTAAATTTGAAACAACTAGGAAGTCTTTATGGAAAAGTCAGGAGTCATCCTGGAAACACCAAAAAGAAAAGAGCTTTTACTACAAACATGTTGAAAAAAAAAGATGTGTGAAAAGGTAAACACTTTGTAGCAATGCAGCCATTCATGGTTAATTGCATCCATACATAAGAAAGACAATGATATGAAGATATTTTATATATACATACATAATTGTTTGTGCTAGACATGTACATATTAGTTGCAGTTTCAGGTTTTTGCTTAGGTACTGAAAATAGTGCCCTGACAAACCAACAGCACAAATAAAGTAAGTGACAAATGTTTTTGAAACCACTGCTTCAGGTACCAACACATAAACATGTAACTGAATGTAAGGTTTCATGGAGCAAAATTAATTATTCCATACACACATGAACAAGTCAATGGTATGGTATGGTATGGTTTCCATCTCTGCAACATAGTAATTCTCCAAAATCAATTCTTAGCATGAGCATTTTAGAGTAACTCACAAAACACACATGTACTTCATATGATGAACCCATTGTTACAAAACTTTTTGAAACTAACCTGAAGCACTAAAACTGTATAAAACTGTTTCAAATGGGCAGAGACATAAACACTTTCTTTTCGCCTTGAGTACATGAAAGGTTCAGGCATCCAGTCACCAGATGTTAGAAATCAGTATTTCATTAATACCATGATCCAAGTTAAAGATAAAATTAGAAAAGACTTACTTTGCAGAGGATGAGATAACTAACTGAATTAAAAGCTTCCAGACCAAGAAGCCAGGTCAGGATGGAAGGTACTTAGTTGTTTAATAGCTAAATTCACACTAGTCAGGAAAGTGTATTCAGTATCTTTTCACACTTGTGAATGCTATACTGGACATGACTTCACTGCACCCCCAGGAGCCTCAGCAGTAGAGCCAGAAGGTGCCTATCCATCTGGGAAACACCTTGGGCCAGCTGAGGAACCTGTCTAATCCACATTCATTCTTGACACAGGTTGATCCCCATGGAAATATTCTTCTCAGACCACTTGAAAGACGAAATGATGTCAGCAGCTCAGATGTGTTCATGAATTTCCCTGATTCCTGAGCCACCATGTACACATATGACAGTGCCAACTTGCAGCACAGAAGAGCAACTTCCAGCAGAGACCTCTCCAGCAAGAGTGCTCTGGACAGACACAGGCTTCATAAAAGAGAACCTTTACAAAGGAGGGCATCCCAGAACAAAGTCAAAATCCCTGATTTGCCTGATGTTAACTTGATAGACAAGTGGTCCAGAATGGTCCTTCCCATCACATTTATTCTTTTCAATGTTGTTTACTGGCTGTATTATGTCCACTAATTAATGCAGTAATGCTACCACAGACTAACATAATTAGACTTGTTTCTTTTCCTTCTCAATTTTGTAAACTCTGAAGAACTGTAGTATCTATAATGTTACATGTTACAATGTAAGATACCACTCCATCAAACACTTCTAATTTTAAGCTTTTAAAAACCTCAACAATACAAAACAAAAAAAAACCAACATCCAACCCAAATCCAGCCTCACAACATTCAGATCAAAATAGTACAGATGTGGTCTTAAAGAGCATCTTCAGTAAAAGCACAATGCCTCAATTTTTACAGTTTGTGCATCACCCATGACCTTTCTGTCCCCACTTTTATTTTTTTAATAAGTGGAATAAAAATTAGTCCCACTGCATTTCTTATCACAGATTGGGAGCCCACAGCAGCATGCTCCAAACAGCACAGTAAAGCAACTCAAAGTAATAGACTGTCACTGTCTTTCAGCATTTAGAGTGTAGAGAAATTTGAAGAAGTAGGTGTTTGAAGGAATATAGCTATTACACCACACATCATTTCAGACAATAGTTATACTGGGAAGTATTTTCACAGTGTGTGTGAGAAGTATCACTCAAGGAGAAGCCAAATCACATTTTCAGAGGGGCAGGGATCTTCAAAAGAAAGAAAAGGTAGCAGAGACAAATCCCACTGATTTTTCCAAGCAAGGAATCAGCTGATTTGATCTAACTGGAATTTTGTTATTTCCACAAAGTAGCAAAGTTGCAATTTATGAGAGCAATTGTGCAATATGTAATTTTGTATTAAAAAGAAGAAAACAAACACATTAATTCCTGGAAACAACTCTGAGGGATAGATACCCCAGACCAAGACTTTTCTTGACTCCCAGGTTTCCTGTGGCTGGTAATTGCAACATTCTCCCAAATGTTGGCAGATGTCTGGGAACAGACTTGAGGAGATTTCTGCACACAGTTTCCTACAGATTTCCTCACTCCACTGAGGATCAGGAGATAATGTCTGAGTCTTACAGCATACCAGCAATGTTGGGTACACTCCTCCTGAGGATTCCTTGCCTGGCTGCTCATCACCTAGCACAACTCCAGCCAAGGAGCCCCAAGCAAAGTGCTAGCAAGGTCCATGCAACTGAGAAGCAATAGGTCAGTCATCTTCTATCTGTATCCAATTAATTTCCCTTCTCTATTGCCAATTGCCTCTTAACATCATTTGCCCTGTGCTGCCTAACATAGCATTTTATTGAATCAGAACTATTATCAGGTTTTGGGTTTTTTTTTATTGCAAGTGTTTCATACTTTTAGGAAAATCAGGATACACAAGCCAACAGAGTCTATGTAGGTACCAAAGTGATTGTTATCAATAGAAGGTGATACAGAAAGAAATGTTAATCAGGACAGTAAGCAGCAATACCTACAGCTAGGAGTTAGTAGGGAATACTAATGAGTGATGTGGAAAGCTTCTTCATCAGTTCCTCTTTGCCTGGCAGTAAGGTCAGCTGTGATCTTATTGCCAACAGACATTATAATTCTTTTAATCAGAACATAATAAATGAAACCCTCCTATATGTTAATGTTCTTCACATTGTGTGAGACCTGGACCTTCTCACAGAACAGGACCTCAGCCCTTTCCCTATGTTTGTACAGCAGACTTCTGCAGAAAGAGTCTGGAATCACAGAATCACCAAACAAGAAAGGGAATAGGTTTAATTTATTCATTACAAATAATAGAAGGCTGCAAACCAGGCATTTGACAATGCTCATCTCGAAAGGTCTTTGAGACCATTAGTTTTTCTGTGGGCTCTGAAGTCCCAGTTCAGTGGAACATCCAAGTTCATCCCAAGTTCTATGGAACACAATGGTGGTCTCCTCAGATGTCTTCTCTCTGTTGTTACAACCTTTAGCATCCAGTATATTAAAGAGCTGCACAATTTTATCAGATTAATCAGCCACTGGGTACAACTTGAGGCAAACCAGGACAAATACTAATTCAGTCAAATGGTTCTTCTGAATATGCTACAGCTTGTATGCCTATTCCCACCCTGAAATAACAACTTTTAAACAAGAATCCCACATGGGACAATTTCATTATTTTTTAAGTCAAATTTAATCAATGTTTAGATAAAAAATATTTAAGTGTCAACTAACAATATTATTTTGGTATTGTAAAATAAACAATACAGAGAACATATGGAAATCTTGCATGCTAATCAAACTGAATTTTCCATAACTGCAAAAAATGGCCCCAGGCAGGAGACAGCAGTAGAGCTATATGTGCTGTCCATTAAATAGTTTTGAATTCAATGAGCTGGCACCAGACTTTACAAACATAATAAGTCCATGAGCCAGTGAATTTGCCTGCTTTGTGGTTATACACAAAAATAAATTCAAAGGAAGTAATATGTTCTGAAGATCTGTAGTGTAAAACACTCTGTGAAAAACAACTATCAGCAACCCATGTTTTTGCATTACTTGAGTTCACAAAAATATTCACAGACAGACCACAGGTGAGTAATTTAATTGAGCTGTTCCAGTGGTGCAGAGACATTGCAACCTCTCCTTACTGCTGCTGTGAACATTTAGGAAGAGCCAACATCCAACATGGCATTGAAACAAGGCTTGAGGTTAAAAAAAAAAAAAGAGGATCCTTTACCTTCAATTATAAGAGCAAAGATTAGCATTACTGATCTTCAGCATTTTTTCTTGCAGACTCCTAATATCTGTGCACCATGGCCTGTCTGCATCGAGATTTGCAAGCTACAATCTCAAGTCAGGAAACAGCTGCCAGCTCTCAGCACAAACTTTGGCAGCAGGAAGCAATAACCCCAACACATAGAGAAGCAAGAGCCACTTACTGTACGTAAGTGGGAACAGGGCGTATAACAGTAACTGGCACGTTTTTGCCCTTTCAACTCCTTTTAGAAAAAAAGAGAAAAAGCAGAAGAAAACATTTCTCACTTGCTTGGCAGCAAGGAAAATGCAGTGGTTATGAGAGTAATGGGATGAAAAAATGAGTCTGTTTATGGGTTACCCATATACATTGCTATCTGGAGCTAGAAATTTGTGAGTACAACAGAAATACAATCTCTTCCCATCACTAAGTTGGAGTACTTTGGCTGGCTGTATGTAATAAAGGTGAATAATGCTGTAATGCTAATCTCCCTCACTGTTGTTTGTCAGTAATTAGTTTCCCTGCCCTTAGGAACCAGACTTCAAGATGAGCATAGATAAGGTCCTATTGCTAATTAGGTTTTAGCCATACCCCCATACAGTTTGTGCAGCTCTCATGCAATTTGTACTGAAAGTCTTTCTGGGTCCAATTTCCCCAGGACTTGAGTTTCTGCTGCCCTTGAGTTTGTATGTTTGTGTGCCCACCTGTGAGTCTACTAACAGTATTTGAATTCACTGGTAATTTCAACCAAAAGATAGCAGAACAGTATGGATCTATGAGATACTACATTCATACAAGTTTCAACAAAGCAGCTTGCTGAGCAGAGAACAAAGCTCATGTTAATTCACCTCCCTTCTCTGGCAGAAAGGAATCTGATGAACCCCAACCCTGTTAGTCAAAAAAAAAAAAAAAGGTATTTTCAATATAACAGGAATATTTAGGACATTACATTGTTCTATGCTATCACCAAACAGCACAGAGTTTTCTATTTCAGAGTTATCTGCTGATTCACCTTGTTTGCCCTTATAGGAAATGTTTCATCCGCTTGTACTGCAAGTGCAGGATTTCTTGAGATAAATCATGAGGAAAGCCACTCAGGGCTGGGGACCATGTTCCACCAGTTGCTTCTGTTTCCCATCACTCATGAACCTCTGCCTATTCTCATGAATTCTCACATACTGAGGATGCATTGCTAACACTGCCTTGGGAATATTAGTGGAAAAAAGGGCTGGGTTATATCTGTCATGTAAAAAAATCCCAACTTTCAGAATGGTTTCTGTATTACAAAGCATAACAAATCCACATCTGTGATTGTACAAGCATGTTTCTTCCTACCCCCATGGGCAACCTACCACCCTGCAGCCCAAAGAGGGCAGGAGATCGCAGAATATTGAATTTCAGCATGTAACGATGATGAAATGTATGCACAGGATGAAATATCTAAAAGACAAGTAAGAAATTTGGCATTTCTTAAAGGAAGTCCAGATGACTTTGGTTTACTTACTGTCTTGGAGTGCAGAGTTAACTCTAATTATATTTGTACGTTGGCATATGTATTTCTCAATTACTTTATAAGTAATTTTGAGTCTCCATAGTGATAAAAACATCACCTCTTGTCTTGTGCTGTTGCCAGTCTAAAAAGGATGGCCTGGTAGTCATTCCTTTACACTTAATTTTTGGTAAAATCCAGTGTGTTTGAATATCATTACCAATGAGGACCTAAAATCGTTACACGGCAGCAGAAGCATGTCATCTTTTTAGAGACGGTCTCTGATCAATTCCTTTTAACTCATCACTTGCTCTCTGTACCTGCACAGTATAAGTATATATAAGTATATATTTATAAGTATATAAATGTATAAAATACAAACCACACTGTCAAAAATGTTCATAAGGATAGTTTCCTTTGGCAGATCATGCATTTTTAGTGAGAGCATTAGCAACCTCGTTCTCATCTGTGAACATACCAGTTTCCTTGTTCCTGTCTTTGAAATGTCATTTGCTGTTTTGATCTACCTGATTTTTTTTGGATTTTCAGAGGAAACTAACCTTGAATGTTGTGTACTGCAGCAAACATTTCTGAAACAAAGCTAGCAAGTCATCATCTCAAGAAAGAGCTGAATGAGACTTTGGCACAGGTAAAGAACTCAGGATTGGGTTTTACAGACAAAGCTAATAGCAGTTTTCATTTCATCCAATGTTTCTCTGGCTCCCATCTAAATCAATATCAAGAGAAATATGGCAGACCTGAAACCTCTGCATTCTAAAGAAAAAAAATAAATGATTCTTCCACTGTAGTTGTCAAAAAAAGGTATTTAATCTAAATAATGCTAGGAATCCTTCCCCACAGATAGACCACCACCAATGCAGTCCCTGTGGACCTGCAGTACTTCCCAGTTAGAAAAATCTGCATATCTTCCAGCTGACTAACCTGATACATAAAAATAGCCAGAGCCTTCTCTATGTAGGACCCCTGGTGGTGCTAGCACATTTGAAGAGTAACTTTGAGCAAAATTCCCAGACACAGACAATGTGAATTGTTGAACATCCAGTATACACTCCACAAACCAGCTCAAAACAGCAGGTTCTGCTGCTGTGAAGACCTCTCCACACAGCAGCCTGATGATCTGAACGACACAAGCCAGCAAAAGTCCAAAGTATGAATATTTGTGAGATTTGCCTTCCTCTCTAGGTTTTGGCAGTGATCTTTTGCTATTTCTGGAGAGGTCCTGAAGCAAGTATGTACTATAATTTTACAGAGAAAAGAGTAGTATACTACCAAATGTAATTAAGGTTGATTTAAAGAAGTAAAAAAAATTAGAGACTATCTTGATGCACTTCTCTAGTAATACCAGAAGAGAATCCCTCTATTGCTGATACTGCATTATAAATATGAATTCACAACTCAAAACGAGCAAAGTATGCATACTTCAGGACAGGGTATATTACTGTTCTTAAAACCACCTTTCAGAAAAAAGCATAATTCTGTTTCAGTATGTTTCTGTTCAGGAAGGCTTGCTCCAGAACTCAGACACGTTCTGCAGGCTTAAACAGATCTTTTAAAAACACAGTTTCTTGGCATACACAACTGCTTTGTTACAAAAGCAGCTTTATTACAATAGTCACTTCCACACCAACAGTTTGCTGCTCAGATCCAGTTCTGATTCCCTTCACATGCCAAAATCCAACACAAAATAGCTGATCAAGAAAAACATGTTTTTTCTGAAATCAAGAGAAGAATTCTGTGAAACAGAAAAGTGCAGTGAATGCCAGTGGAGAGCAAGTAATATTTTTATAATTCACTTTTATGTTTTGTATCAAGATATGCTGCATTTTCTGATTCAAACCACAGGTATGTTTATGCAATGTGAATTTCTGTAGGTGCTTCCTACATGGTTGTGACATCTCACCCTTAAGGGAAGGAAAATTAAAACTACATATACATTATATGGACTATTTTCATTAGCTTTTGGTTCAAAAAGCCTTCAGTGCAACGTTTTATTTCTGGTGTTAATTACATACTTTAGAGGTCTGTACGTTGCACCTGCAAAAACACAGATATTTCTTAAACATATTTACGATGGCTGTTTTCTATTTCTTTTGCCTGTGCAACTGCAGGACCCAGCAGTGAGCTGCTCTGCAGGAGAAACACTGCCAGAATATGAATCCATGTCCCTGAAACAGAACAAATGGGGAACATCTCCTGGGAACAACCTTTACAAGTCACTGTGATATGCAAACACCAAAGCCATTCCATATACTGTAGCCAGTTAATTAGAAAGAGCTCAGGCCTGGAAGAGCATAGGAAAATACAAATAGGGGCAAAATAAGCAGATAAGCAAGGACAGAATCAGAAGTTACTTAATGCTAATGCAGTCTCTTTAAACTTCTGCACCTTTGGCCTAATTCCCCCTTAGTCACAGACTCAAGTGTCTTTTTGTGATGCTCTTCACACCACAACTTCTCCTCAGCTTTTGTTACTGGTGCAGTTTTATATCACTCTGGTCCCAGCACAGAGTTCCTCCAGGGATAATGACACTCTGCAGTGCTCCACACTTCAAGAAAACCTCAGTGTGGAAATGCACTGCCACCTTCTTTACCTATCCTCCTGTGCTTCACATGGATGGGCATACTTGACAGATGTGCTCCTGGCCACATGAGCTTGTTTTAGATGCATCTCTTACACATACATTGGTCCTATTCACTATCTGCTCATGTCTACCTGCATTCATCAAAGTGTATGTTGAAGCTGATACCAGTATCAAGGTTTTCTCAAGTCTCTAACCTTTTGCATCGATTTGGCCTAGTACAGTACCCACAAATGCCTTATCTGCCACAACTGGACACCTTGCTTTGTTCCAAAAGTACCTAATCCCCTGAACAGAGAGAAATAAAACATTTTCTGGTAGATGGTACAAAGCACAGAGCAGCAAGCTCTCTTGTTCATTCTGTTTGGTCCCTTTCTGTGTCATCTACTGGAGGCCATTATGTGCCTTGTGAGGATAGTTAATTTCTCTGCAGAGATGTAAAGTCAGGATGCACATTTCGAATGCAATTCCATGACCACCACATTTTAGCTGCTAGTTCTCAACTACTCATCAACAGGTGCTCCTCTCCCTCTCTAGCCATTTACATGGTGTTGTTATGCCCCCTATTAGAAACAGAATTTTGATGGTTATATAAAAAAATACTCAGATTTTCAATAAAGTGTAGCACCTACAAGAAAAGCAGCTCATTGCACATTTATTGCTGTCACATCATTGCAGAAATTTGTCTTCTTTTTAAAGCAAAAAAAAAAATCACTTAAAAATGATTTTTCATCCTTTTCTGTTCAGTGTTGTAGCAAAGGACAGGACAAATATAGGATGATACTAAAGACTCCCAATTCTAAATCCATTAATACATAATTTAATTTTAAAAATGAAACCATATAAACTTTAGGTCTCTACTCCTAAGAAAAAGTCAGAAATATTTTAGATAGCATCTACATTTTAAAAAATTGCCTTCTATTAGTGAGAAATGTGGCAGATTTTGCAACAGACGTTTCATTGCTTGAACATAAAAATGGGAGCAATTCTTTATGGCCTTTTATTGTTGAGAAAACAACTCATTTTAAGAATTTACAGTATTTTTTAACAGTTATCTTTGAAAACTAAGAGGTAGCAACACAGGAGTTCTCAACAACACACTGCAAATTAAGTTTTAAATATCCACTTTATTCTTTGAAGCACAGACTTTCTAGGTATCTGCTTTCTTAAATGTACTTGTTCACAGTACATCTATAAATTGTAGAAATGGACCAGCACACAAGTGTTTTCTATCCAAACAACATCCCAAACTTGATAGTGCATGAAGTAAATTGCTGTTTATTAATTCTGCCGCCTTAAATAAAAGTGGTTTCCAGTCCTTTCAGCTCCCTTCCAACCTCAGCTACTCTGTGGTTCTACACTGTTTCTGTTTGTAAAGCTGATTTTCCCTAGCATCTAAAAAGAGTTTAGTGATTAATAACGCAAGAAATGACTTACTACAGTTATTCAAAGTCAAGTGTTTATTTACCATATTTACAAGTATAAATACATTAATGCTACAAATACTCTCTCATGGTCTTTATTATCATGGTACTTTAGACAAGGATAACATATTATGCAAGTAAGACACCTTAGTTTTACTAGGCACCTGTACAGTCACTGCCAAGTTTAACCAAAACAAACATGGCACATGTCCTGATATTTTTCCAAAGGTCTATAAATCTTTAGTATTAAAAGCAATTGTACATTGGATTTGCATTTCTTTTGGTCAGATACAAGACTTTATTATTCTGTTGAAGCATTAGTAGTTTATTTGGTCACAAGTCGCAATTGTCTTCTCACTTCAGTGTTTGACAGCACCAAAGACATTTTGCTTTGCAGAAAATACTTTTTTTTGCCTCAGTTCAACTGAGGAGCCATCACCAGCAGATACTGTTGATGATCTGAATTTCCATCATTTCAGTTGTAAGACAACCTTCAAGAAGGAGAAAAAGAATGAGATTTGAGATGGACAAGACCAAAAGTTAAGCAGCCTATGAAATGCAGTTTTTTACTTTCTGTTGCAGTACAACTGAATAAACATGTTTTTCCTCTGAAAAGCACTCCACCCCTCTCTCAGCTTCTTTTACAACCTCACACAACTATCACTGCCAATAACTTTCTTTACCCTTTTTACTGCATACAAATCATTCCTCAGCTGCCTGTAATCAAGAAGTAAAATAGCAACGTCCAGGTCCAAGGGGATTCCTTCTGCACAAAGCTGTTTCTGAAGTGAATTCCTCCTTGTGTGCACATAAAACAAAGTAAGGCGATAACAACATCCCACAGCTTCCATACAGACCCTGAAGCAGAACAAAGGGTGTGTGGAGACTGAAGCCTGTCCTGTAAGAATCCTTGTTTACATATTGTAGAGCTCATGACAAGCTATTTTTATGTAATTTTGCAGAAAAAAAAATCCAGGGGAAAGAAAGCTGTGAAAGTTGTTCAGGGCTGTAATTTCATGAGAACATCACCTGCATCCAGACTAATTTATCTCATTGGGAACTGCATGGCAGACATAATCTTAGTGTCTTTGTAATTCAGAATATTTAACAGCACTATTATAACTTGGTTTTATAGTTCATAGTTAATAACAATTAGCTTGAGTTTTTGCCAGTTTTCAGGATAGGAAAGGGGCAGTGGTTTTAAGACAGCAGATTTAGATTACGTATTAGAAAGAAATTTTTGTACAATGAGGGACATGAAACACTGGAATAGGTTGCCCAGAGAGGAGGAGGATGTCCCATCCCTGGAAACATTCAATGTGAAGTTGGACAGTGCTCTGAGCAATGTCTGATCTAGTCAACAATGTCCCTGCTCACTGCAGGGAGGTTAGACTAGACAATGGTTAAAGGTCCCTTCCAACCCATTCTATGATTCGATGAATTTTACTTAAAATAAACACAGTACATGAGAGGTCAGGAACAAAAGACTGTACCAGTAAAAGGTACCTTATTAGCAGCTTCCAGTGCATTTATTAGGTTCTGCAGCTCTTCCTTATTCATCTCTATAGAAATCGGCTTAATTTCACCATTTTCTCTCACATCCAAATCAAGATTGAGGAGTGGCATTTGCAGCATGGAGATCTTATCACTGGAGAGAGCAAGCTGTGCAGATTAACAAAGCAACAATAATGGGTAAGGTGGAGCCATTAAGTTTTTAGTCTTTCATATCACCACATCTTCACCTGATATTGAATGTACTACTGCATTTTTCAACAACCTCTAGAGCTGATCAAACACTTTGTCAGATATCCTATTTGTCAAACACTGATGAAGAAGATTACATACCAATTGTGCTTGCTTTCTTGTTTACTATTATACTCACTCTAGTATAAATAAGGCTTTTAAAATGTATTTAAATCAAAGATTGGTTGAAAACACCACAGGTCAGCATTGTACAGGCCTAGCTCATTCATTTAGAGAACAGAATGTGGTACAGCAGAGGAGAAACAATGTCCTTGGCACGGTTCAACCGTATCTCTAAAAACTGAACCATGCTCCAGAGTGAGCAGACCTAAGGGGACTAAATGGGTGTTATTTCTGTGTTGTTGAACATTTATTTCAGACAACATTAAGGCAACACTCTCACCTTTAACTGCCAGTCAAAATCCTGCAGCTGAGCAGAAGAGATTGCATTTACTTTTTCCACTAGGGCAAAAAAAAAATAGGCATTTTGTGATTGCTTCTTGACAGTCTGAATTTAACTCAATTATCTGCTGAGCAGCCTACACAAATAAAAATAAAAACAGTGATTGCTTAAACTATGAACCACAGAAATAACATGTACCCCCTGCAATAGCTGTGCTCTGTAGATATCCAAGCCTCTACCCAGAGTGCTGATAACTGGACTCAGTGGCTGCTCTGTGTGTCTGATAGTTCCAAGTCTGTTTACCACAGCAACATATAAGGAAAAAATAAAGTTCTTGTCATTTAAAGACATCAGAGAACAGAGGCTTTATCAGCCTTCTTAGATGCCACCCAAAAATCAAAACAAAAATCACATACATGAACAACTCAGGTTTAGCTCTGAAAGTTTCTCAACATCAAAGTGGAAGCCAAAGACATTTGTTCAGTTGAAACAGACACACTGATGTACAGACTTCCTCATGGCTACACATCTGTCTTTGACCTAGCTACTAGCAGGTAGCCAAAACACCAATATGCAAAAGATGAGAACTAAGATTTCTCATAATGGAACAAGTTTTTGCAACGTTCATATATACTGGAATGCCCTGAATTATAGCCCCTGTCCCACATGGCCCTCCATTCACAGGCAGAGTTTTTTAAAAAATTTACATACTGTCTGTATTTTAAAGCACTTCAATGCAGTACTAATGACCAAAGAAAGCCAAATAAGAGTATGAATTTGTTTTATTGCTAATGAACAGTAATGCAGGTTATGTATTTTAAGAAAAACAGATTTAATTTGGTGGTACTCCAAATACCAATCTGAATGACTAAACCAGTATTTTAAGCATCCAGCATTATTAAAAATAGTAAAAAACTAGCATCTATTTCCCTTTTTCTTTCAGAAGTCTTGGCAGTGTCTCTAAATGCTGCCTACTTTCTACCTATTTAGGCTTAACCCATTACTATTCAAATGCTACACTATAAAAATACACTGGGACTAAACAAACTACAAAACTAATCACTCCAGTGTGATCTCTCAAAGTCAAGGCCAGTGATGAGCCCTTACCTCTTCATCAGATATGTTTTTGCCAACTGCAGTTTTGAAATAGGTCACTGTTTCTTCTAAAACCTCCATCCACTCCGACAAGCTCCACACATTGCCATAGTCCTGGTATCGAGGATACGCACGGCCACAGATGCCATCAATCGTTTTATGAAGGAACTGAAACAATGTGGTACATAAGAATATAATTCTGTCATGGTAAACCTACACCTGACATGAGGCTGATCAAGCAATTTAGTTATCACCCCTCCCTTCACTGGGCACTGCCTCAATGCTTCCTCTGAGAGCAGCACATGGACCACACTAAAATGTAAGTCATAAAGAGGTAGTCCTGAATATGAACTGTCCTCCCTTCTTCCCAAAGTCAATTCACATGGTTTGGCCACAGAAATCACCACGTGATTCAGATTCACCTTGACAATTTGAACTTAAGTCATTTTGTGCATAACTATGCAGTACTGCTGAGCAGCCGAGCTGCCACACCAAAGGGCACCTCGGTCACCTCTGCACTGAGACTGACCAGCACAACTCAGAAGTGCTGATCCCCGTGGCTGTGTGCCTCTCTAGTCTCCGTTTGGGAGAGTGACTCTAGCACTGAGGCTCTTGTACACGCTTAGTCACTTCTCCTTGGCCACCGCAGCGAGGCAAACCCAGCCCATTCGCACTTCACCGCTTGGGAATCACTGGAGAGACTTCCCAGTGCCGAGCGCTCGCGCGGGTAAGGGCGCGGGGTGTTTCCAACCACGGCACTGCGAGGCGAGCGCAGGAACAGCGCTGGGGGCACGGTCCGAGCTAATGCGTTTGGCTTGGGCTCGGAGAGGCACAGAGAGGCCGCGGGCAGCGCTCGGAGGTACCGCAGAGCAGCGCCTCG